GAAGGTTACTGCAATGTGTTTTTAGACACTGTATGCAACAAGCATGGCATGTGTTAATATAAGAATGTTTGTAAATCAAATTTTGCTAATTGGATGCATTTCATCCCATCCATATACTCAAAATGAGATAATATTATATGAAAACTCAAGAATTTGTTCTTACGTATTTGCAAGGTATGTATTTTCAAGGGTGTACATGCATTAGGGGGTACTTCTAATCCTAATTCTACAGTATTACACTCACTATTGGTATCTAGGACTTCACTCTTGGGCACCACCAGATTGTTACAGTCTAATGCGTACTCTCAGTGGAAGGGATTCATTGTTCATCTCTGTTTCGTTGTTTTCCCTGCCACTCGACCAAAATGGACTGTCATTGTCAATTGTTGCAGTTGTTGTATTCATGACTGAACTGTTTAAGGGCAAAGTTTCGGGACACTGTAGTTTTATTATGGTTGGCAACAATGATCAGACGCGGCAACCAAATGCACGCGCACATCCTTTAAATTACTATCTGCACGTGACGTCATGTGGGGCGCAAGTAAAACGGCGGTATCCAATAAAAGCAAGAGGTACAGGTAATGGTAAGAAAGCGGCTCAACGAGGAGAAATGCGGATTCATTTTCTAACCCTTTTGTTTCGTTATTAACGCGTCCAGCACCCCAAACCTCCATTCGGCGTAGGCCTTGTTTAACGTGGTAAAGATAAGAAGTATTAGAAGGACGCCACCAACAAAATCTGGCGTGCAATTAGAGTTGCAAGATGGCGTACCGAGTTCCGAGCACTCACTTGATCCCGGGTCCCTCCCTACTTCGGTGGGCATGTCCCTGCTGCGCCCCTGTGCGATGAACCGACCGAAGTTATCATTGGCAAAACCGAAAGCCGGTGGTCTTGGTCGGTTCGTCATATTGACTGGTTAGTCAAACAAAGATTAACGATAAGTCAAAGAATAATCGACCACTGTAGCAAGTTCGGTGGACGTCCCTCGTTCCATTCCTTTTCATACATCCTCCATATCATTTAGTCCCCTCCTTGCCACGCGCCCCGTCGCTCTTCATCACGTGCTCCATCGTCATCTCGCATTCGTTGCTTAACTGTTCCCTTGCTACCCGCTCTGCGATCCACATGCACCTGTTTCCGCTCACCTGAATTTCGTTGTCCTCCAGGCAAGGTTGGATTCCTTGGGTTGTCGCTCATTTTCGTTGACCGGGCTATCTTCTTGTTAGCTGAGGCAAAGGAAGTAACCAAGGTATGGTAGTGTGGTGAAGGTCGCCCGTGTCTTGCAGAGTGGTTTTGGGATACAAAGTAATAAGCAAATTATGATTCCATAGTGCGATCTCTTGACTAGCTCGCACCAACAAGCAGATCTATTTTTGGGGGAGTTCTGCAAGTGGAACGGATAAGATGCACCCTCTTTGAGTTGCGCAGGCGTGTCTGTGTTGTGTCGTCGGACCATTTAGGCTGAAGCCATACGCCAGATGAAGCGTGTTCTCATTATCGGGGACGTTTGGCGGTTGTCGATCATTTCGTGCTGGATTTATACTTTTACATTTTAGAAAAGAGTAAGAGGATAGAGCAAGCGAGTGAAAACAAACGAGAAAGCGAGGCAAGGGAGGGAAGGGCGAAGAGTAAGAGAACGGACAGAAGGAAAAAGTGTGTGAATGCAAGACTTTCGTACCGATGTTCATACATTAGTTCGTCATGACGAGTGTCCTTGATTAACAACACTCGATATCTTTTTCTCTGGTTCGCTTCAGCTTACTTTTCCTTTTGTGACCATCCTCGTTCATCTTCTCCCATCCTGTATTGATAATGTTAGTTTTTTTGCGCGCCCTTTTTAGTTTCTCCGAAGGTAGGTCAGTCGCCGTGGCAAAAGTTTCGTTTCTGATAGATCGGCGGTCGTTTTTTGATAGATCAGCAAGTACCCCAAATTTAGGTTGCATTCTTGATATATCCGCAGTAAAGTCACGTTTTCACTGATAACCTGAGGTTAATTATGACTATATTCTAATCTCTTTCTACGACTATACATAGTACTATATATGTAGATATAAATTTGCTTTCTTTATATATAATTAATGGATCTATTAGCTAGTAACAAACAATACCGTTAGCAGTCATAGTAGTTGTGGCTAATAAAGACTGCAAATAACGTCGAATATAATATCTTTCTACCTAATCATTAATTTTGCAATAATATTAATATTTAACTCATTTTCAGCGCAAAAATTACGTCTATCAGTCTTACTAGAAATCCCGGTGTGGCACGTCTCAGACGTTGTCATCAAGTTTAGGTCGCCAAGACACTGCCACCGAGACTTCAATACCAATTCAGAGTTACCGTATTCTGCTGAGCAGATTGAGGAAGCTCGCAGAAAAGTGTTAATGACGCTCGGATACTTGGCTTCACAATAGTAATCTTGGTCAGCATTTAACGGTCTTTGTTCATATTAATATTAATAGAGAAATTTCGGTATAACTAATATCACAGTTTTATTATCACTCATTAGTTAATGAATAAATTATTATTAATTAAATATACTCAGTTTATATTTCAAACGGCACAACGTCTTAAAATGGTTTGCAAAAAAGCTATGTATAGTCGTAGAAAGAGGGGCGATCAAAGTGCAATCACTAAAGAAATGGGTAATTAAACAAAGTGAGAGCAATTGGAAGAGAATTGAAAAGTGAAGGAAATGTGGTTCGGAGGGTGATTGGGAAAATAATTGTGAGAATAGTTGGGAGGGTTCTTGATTGTTGAGTTGTTGATGGTTGACAACAAAATTCGATTTGAAGAATCACGCCAATCGGTATATGCAAATTCAAATCATGTTTAATAATTTGTGTCAATTTTTTGCACACACTTGTCATTAACAAATGTGTAAATACCATGAGCATAAGATTCTTTGGTTGTAGAGTTGTTAGTGATTGACGACGAAAATCGATTTCGCGATTTTGAAGAACTATTCCAATCAGTATATGCAAATTCAAGTCATGCTTAATAATTTTTTGACAAAGTGTAAATGTCACTCGCATAAGATTCTTGGTTGTTGTGCTATTCTGGATTATGAACGAAAATTGATTCCGCGTTTTCGAAAAATCGAGCCAAATTAAATCTGTCAATATAGATTCGCTAATTACTATGATTGGGAATCTTCCGAGTCAATTAAACAAGTGATCATCACACAGATGCAGATTAATTTTATAAATGATACCAAGAAAAACAAATCCAAATCTTATCCGAAAATGCAAGAAAACCCAACTCCAACAGCTACAACTAGTTTTCGACCTTACAGAGGTCGTGATCCTTTGGATTAGGCGTTGGACTACGATACCGGTTTCCCCGGCTTCCGATTTTATTGATGACATTAATTTCATCAGTGTCCATGCAGATGCCACAGGTGTGTGAAAAAAATTTTTTTTTCGGTGGGGGAAGTTGGGGTATTTGAAATTTTGATTGCCATGTGTGATTACCGTATACTACCGTGAATAAGCACCCACCCTTATCATAGTGAGGGGGTGCTTATTCACGAGGGGATCGGCAACTCTTATCGGCATTATTAAAATGATCGGTAAATCATGCGGTTAACCTAGGTAATCTTGGGGGTGCTTATTCACGATCCGATGGCTTTACTTATTATTATAAGGGGTGCTTATTCACGAGGGGTCACGCACGGTAGTATACGGTATCCTCTTTTGGATGTCGATTGCATATTTCTGTATCGGTATTTGTTTACATCTCAGATAAAGAAATGATCTGTGAGAGTCATCTTATCTTTAAAATTCGATTTATTTTTAATTACTCAATAACAATGTTAAATATAATATTGCTGACACGCAATGAAATTTGAACACGCTTTACATATGACTATTGTTGATACTAATAGCTTTACTATCAAGAATCTTGTATTTGTTATTCCAAGTGATGAATTTCGGTTAGTTAGTTATAATTGCATAATAATAAACATCCCAAGTAAGTTAAACTTTCCAATAACAATTGGTCAATCGTATCTGGCGTTGTTGCAATAAGTCATCTTGATTTGACGAATATAGAATCGATTGGTAGGTCAAGTCGAAATACATATTTTCGCCTTTTTCTTTTAATTTCTTTTTAATGGACCGACTAATGTTTTTTCTCGCTATAAAATTGATTTAGTGTTTTCCAAAAGCATGCCCATACAAATCATAAAACTTCCCTAAATTAATATTGTCTTCGCATAACTCAATATCGAACATATCGACATACAGTGAGAACTCTATAAGTGCACCCTCTATAAGTGCACACCCTCCTCATATGCACACTGTGGTCCGGTCCCAAGCTCGGGACTTAGAGCTAAGTGCACACCCTCTATATTCTACACGTGCAAGAGATGTTGAGCCCCAGATATATTCGTATCATCTCTATAAGTGCACACACGTGAAATTAGCCAATTAAATCGTTGCAATCTCATGCAGCAAAAAATGCTTACAAATCTGCACCGCCACTAGTATGAAACAATATTGACATGAAAGTTTCCTAAATAGTATAATTACGCAAAAATTTCATCAAACATTAGTCATAATTTCCAAATTAAACAGAAGGCAGTAATAAATAAATGCAATGAGTAATTGTTCGCGCTTGAGCATTGACGCAAAAATGTCTCTCAAGAGAACTACTCTTACTGAATCCCAAAAGCGAGCCCTTTGTAG